GTTGTCTCCGCAATGAATAGATATCTGGATTAATATCCAGATCTTGCTGTGCTTATCTTGATCCTGTTTTAGTTTTTCCTCAGCATTGACTTTCTTCACTTGCCCTCTCTTAAAAATGTAGTACTTAATTTGCAGTATTTTGCATTCTTATTTCTGAGCAACACATTTTGTTCTTCCAGTGCTAATATAAGGTCTAGCCACATGTTTCTAGTTCATTGTATTAGTATTCAGTTCAAAGTGAACCCTGATAATAAAATGTGTTTCAGTATTTGATGGCAAAATGGGGCCACTATGAAGCAAGAGGGAAGTATCAGCACAGTTGAGGAGCATCTCCAACATTAGCAGAACTACATTAGGAGCCCTGGTGGTGAAGTGGTTAAATGCCTGTACTACAGCCACTCACTCACAAGCCACAAGGTTGCGAGTTCAGTACCAGCCAGGGCTCAAGCTCGACTCAGGCCTGCATCTTTCTGAGGTTGCTAAAATGAGTACCCAGATTGTTGGGAGCAATGAGCTTACAGTTGTAAATTGCTTAGAGATTGCGTAGCATGGTATGAAGTGGTATATAAATGAAGCTGCTATTGCTACATATTTATTTATTTATTGTAAACAAGCGGTGTAATCCTTTGGGGATTTACACCCATAGAAAGATTTCAGTGAAAACAATATGCTTATCTCCATTGAAATGTCAACAGGAAAAGAAACAATTTAAATTAATTTAGAAGGGGGGTCAAGCCTACACCAGTTTATATTGTCCCACATACAACTGGATTTAGCACACAACTGACACCTTCCAAGGGGTAAGTGTATAATGCAATATTTTCTTGCAGGTTGTGTTGGGTTTCTAGTCCTGCTAACACTGTGGCATGAAATAATTTATTTCTTGAGCAACACATTGCAGTTTTATTTTTGAAATGTCTTCCTATACTTAATTGTCTTACTATGTAACACTGCACAGCAATACATAGTAATTATAAGAATGGTATTTATATTTGACTAACATTTTCAAAAATCTTTTTCAGAACATCCTGTTCATGTTTCCCACCTTAGAAGTTTGAGAGTAACTTTCTCCATCTTACATATCCTTTAAGACAGGGGTAGGCAACCTAA